AACCAGGTCACTAAAAATGCTAAGGCATTTCACTGTTTCCGCTTCCAGAAAGTCCAAACTCGCCCTCACCCTAAGTATACCGGGCAATGGACGGATATCTTCGCGGTCAAAAGTATGTCTCAGAAAGTCAATTGACCGTACTTTTGTTTGACACTGGTGAATATTCTTGAGAACACCATGATGCCATAGCCCACTAAACGCCAAGTCTACATGTCAGAGGTTACATTTTGGGCATCAGATAAGATTGTCGTTTAGGTAGGTACTCATGAACATTTTCAAGACTAGACAGTGAGCAGACAAGGAAGTACGACATTTGTGAATGAATTAAATGTGTAGTAGTAGTATGAACATTTACACATCAGCACACGTATAAAATTGTGAGATTAAGACAACAGAACTCCAACGATAAACAGATTTCAATATATACTTTGTTTATTCGAATCACTTTATTCTCCATTGTGCTTCTTCAATGGCACAAAATATATAAACAGAGTGAATTGTAACTGAGCAAAAAAAAATAAAAGAAAGGTAAGTAAAGAGTCTGAAGTAAATATGTACAGATTTTCAACAAAAGATACAGAGTGTTGTGACAGATGTGCGTGCGTGCGTGTGTGGGTGGGTGGGGGCGGAGAATGTCAGAAATGAACAAACACGCACACAGACACACACAAAATGAACTGAATGAATCTATAAATGATAACAATGTGATTAATATTATTATTATAATTATTGTTATTACTATAATTAGTATAGTCATCATCACAGTTATACAAATATATTTGGTAGGGCAGAGACAGACATCCACATGATACACAACAAAAGAATCGTCAGTATAAAAGAAAAAGAATCATCAAATAATTAAAAGGGAATTTTTGATACGGTCACCTTTTGCATGTGTAACACACTACTACTTCAAATGATGAGGCTGCTGAACTGAAAATAAAGTGGATATTTCCTGCTGAAAAGAGAATCAGGGTACAGACACACACACACACACACACCCATCAAACTAATATTTATAATCAAAAAACAATAGTACTTATGATAGAAGAAACACTAGAATCAGATTAACAAAATATAGTAATAGACAGAACAATAGTTAACTAACGACATAATATCAACCAACATAATCAGAATATAAAGTAAAAAACAAACAAACAAACAAGATTACATGAAGAGTGTAATTCACACTGTTGTTATGTGTTAATATGAAAGGGAATTGTTTGATTCGCTTTCAATTAATCAATCGATCGATCGATCGATCGATCAATAGGTTTGATTACCTGATTCCATAGAATAATGAATGCGGAGAAAGAATTCAACAGTGATAAATTGACTAACTGACTGACTGATGAAGATATTAGAGTATTGTGCAACATTTGTTTGTCTTCTTTGCCTATAAATAGTAAAGAGGAACAATAATTATGACTGTATTCATTGAAGAAGCATTGGAAAATCAGGCAATGCTGGATAGTTGTTTTGTCTCAGTTTGGGGCTCTTCAACAGTAGTCAAACGTTCAAATTTATGAACCAGCGTCTGAGTGGTCTAAAAGCCGGCCTTGTAGCCGGGAGGACTTTGGTTCGAGCCCCGGTGGGTACGTACTGCCAAGGACTCTCAAACTGGGACGAAATAACTGTTCACTACTCTCTGTTGATTTTCCATTGGCCCCCTAACTGATGTCAGCTCGTGATCAGATGGGGAGGAAATCAAACTCCTGTACACCAACGCTTGATACTTAGCGTTATTAACAATATTAATGTTTTCAATAACATTGTATTAATAATATCAATAAAGGTGTTGTAAAAACCATCAACAGTTCAATATTAGACCACCTAATCCAAACAGGTAATAAAGCTAATATTGAAGAATCTTCTTCTATCATCTACCTATCTGGGACCAGATAAATTGCCAAAAGCAATTATGTACTGAATACTGTAAATAGCAGAAGCAATTACAATTCGCCCAGGATAACCGAAGCTCTGTGTGCAAAAGAAACAAGTCCACAGCCACTATCACTGCCCTGGTCTGCTGTGAAACCTAAGAATTAATAAATGCTGTATTGTTTTCCTTAATATATTCGATGATAGCTTTATATTGCTTTATTGATGAGTAGCTGCAGAAACCATTCCAGTAACGGGGTTTTCTCCCAACTTATTAAATCATCATCACTACATACATAAAATAAATAAAATCAGTCTACTGAACTGTAGCGTCGGTGGTAGAGCGGTAGAATGTTCGCCGACCACACATGTGGTTCGGGGTTCGATCCCCGGCCACCGACACACTCCTTTACCTCACTAAGCCAGTAATAAGACTGGTAAAGAAGGAAGGTTGGGCATGGGGCTAGTAACCCCATCCAGTAAAAATAAACACCACTGCTACAGAAACTTCAAGTCACTAGCTTGAAGCCCTATGTTCCACTGGGAACGTGAAGGAATAAAAAAGAAGCTGAACTGTAGCTATTTGGGAAAATCATCAAGGCAACTGATAAGTTGATTTCGCCTTTAGAAAAATTCCGTTTGTTTCAAATACGTAGACACCTAATGGAGAGAGTGAAGGAAAACTGAAACTTTATGCGTATCTGAGTTCCATGAACTACTCGCTTAACAGAGAACTGACTCTGTTCACTGAGGATATTGAACTCCAATGAGATAGATTACAGCCATTTTTTCTACTTTAACTTCGATTATTACTGAAATCAGCATAACAGTAGGCTGCCAAACTACAGTTGTTTTAGATATTTTTAAGAAAAACTGACAACAACAACAAGAGCAAATGAATATACTCTGTTACAGGATTTCATCATGAGCTGACATTGGTTAGAAAACCATTGGAAAACCTGCAGGGAGTACTGGACAGCTGTTTCGTCCTAGTTTCGGGCTCTTCGTCAGTACGCACCCACAATGTGGGGTTCGAACCCAGGACCTTCTGGTTACAAGGCGAGCTCGTAGACCATTAAGCCACTGGGACTCGATCCAATGGCCAGCCCATGAATTCTAACTTCTGTCAATTCACGATACAGCGCAACCTCTAGCCAATGTCTTCGGAGAGTATTCGTCCTCACACCCAACCTGCTGCACCCTACTGGTCACGACTTCCCACTAGAACCCCAGGTAACTACCTACCTGAATAGGGCCAGTGGCCAGTGAGCATCTCATTGATATTCAAGTATTGGTTTGTAGGGATTTGGTTGATTGGTTACAGGATTTCATCATTTCATTTCATTACTCGCCGAAGACATTGGCTAGCGGTTGCGCTATATCGTGAATTGACAGAAGTTAGAATTCATTGACTGGCCATTGGATCGGGTCCCAGTGGCTTAATGGTCTGCGAGCTCGCCTTGTAACCAGAAGGTCCTGGGTTCGAACCCTGGTGGGTGCGTACTGACGAAGAGTCCCAAACTAGTCTGACGAAACAGCTGTCCAGTACTCCCTGCAGGTTTTCCAATGGTTCTCTAACCAATGTCAGCTCATGATGAAATCCTGTAACCAATGAACCAAATCCCTACAAACCAATACTAGAATATATTCTGTGTTTAGGATGAGATTTCACAGTTAGGTGGATTTTAATGAATAACATTTAAAATGTAATTAGTTAAATTAGTTATAAAAAAAGAGATTGACAAGAGACAAAATGATGACGTGATGGTAATACATGTGGTCTTTTCGTCAACATAAAGTAATATAGTACTATCCTCGAGTGTGTGTATATATATATAGAACGTTAATTATAGATTTTTCATAAACTGTCATTCCTTTACTTTTTGAGTTAGTGATTGATAACTTCAACTGGGGTATGTTAAGAGACAATTTTTATTACAGATATCAATGCTACTTATGCAAATGTAGGTGTGTATACACCTGACAATTTTCAAACATGATGGAAAGTGTAGTCTATCTCAGATACGAAAAGATCATTACGGTACAGTAGCTAGTACCGGGCTGTGTGAAAGACTGATAATGCCATGTGTAAATGAACGTGAACATTGAACGTTGGTTCATTGGCCTTGGTCGCCATTGGCGGGCAACTTGAAGGCGCGAATGGTTCAATCGTGTACAAGTTGGAAGAAGGCGAAAGAATACGAATAAAAGTACAGTACATTCCTTGTAAAACATTTGTTTATAGACTTTGTAATGATATCGAATTTAACTGCCGAAGAGTATAATTTCTTATTAGTCCTTGTGTTTTGGAGTTAAAGTCGATAATCGTTCCCAGTAATTATCGATTCGGAGCGTCTTCACAAATAATAGGAACTTAAGGTTAAGTTCCTTGGCACCATGCAGCTTCCTCAGGCTGAAGTAGTTGGAGTGCCAATAGATCTCGGACCTCTACTAGTGGGAAATCGAGTGAGTCACATCTTCAGGAAGAAAGTCAACACCTTTGCCTTCCGAGTGGAACAAGGGCTTCAAGCTTGAGCTTTGAAGTTTCAGGGTGGGGTTGCTAGCCTCACAGCCAACCCTTTCCTCTTTGTCAGGCTTACAATCGGTTGGGGGGGGAGGAAGGGGTGTGCGCTTGCCGGGAACCAAATCTAGGACGACGGCATGCATGGTTGGCGAGCATCCCTACCGCTGAACCACCAACGCAGCTTTATTAATAATGCATAATATTATTGACTTCATATATACATATACGGATGTCGAGAAAGTACTTACAATGATAACTGATACTCTATCTTGATTGCTGCTTAGAAAACTTCAAAGTTGCATTTAACTTCTAGAAGAGAGGATATAACTGCTTCTTCCACATAAGCTTTATCAGTGATGAACTACATCGATGCATCCAGAGAAATGATTCACTGAATGATCATCAATAGAAAGCCTTTCTACAGTTATCTCTTGTACTGAAAAAATTGTGTAATTATAAATTAATATAGACTGAATATTATCGTCTGAAAATTCGACAGTGACGCAAAAACTAAGAGTATAAAAAAAGTTGTTTAATTATGATGAATGACAGTGATGAATACACACCAACACCATCACCATCAATCACTATATAATTAACATGTGAATAATAATGAAAATAGAAAGCTTACTGTAGTATAAAACATTTTTGATTGTAAACTAAGCCCCTCGGATCGTTCAACTAAGTCATCAAGTTTTTCACCTCTGGACAAAAGTGATTCTAGTGTATTATGCTGGAAAAAAAAGTATGAGAAAAAAAAGGAATTGAAACTTAGTTAAAAGCAAATTATCACCAGTAGTACACGTTAGATGCTTAAAATAAAAAAGGGCCACAAAGTAAACACAATATATACTAAAACAATACAACACAAGTTATGTAAGCATATAAATCAGTCATAAGTGGTCATATTGTCCCAGAACTTGGACTACTCATACCATGAATAGTGTTGACAGAAGTAAGATTACATTGGAAGAAGAGCGTTAGGTGTGAGCGTAACGAAATACGTTGCATATTCAAAAATTCACTGACAATTAATTTGAGCTATATAGAAAGGAAAAAAACAATAGGCTACCCAGCTTCAGTCATTGTGCCGGTGATTCAGCGGGAGGTCCGGGTTTAGCTCCAAGCCGATGCACTCCCAAACCTCGCCCAGTTCATTATCCAGTAATAAGTCGGAAAACAAGGGAAAGGTTAGGTGTGAGACTACGGAACCCGCTGCATAATAACACTGACTGACTGGTCTGAACACAGTTCGAGTCGCCATACTCCATCTAGCACACAAACGTACAGAAAAGAAATTAAAAAGGACCATAATAAGCAGGAATGTGAGAGAGAGAAAGAACAATAACATGGAAAAAAACAAAAGGGTTTAGTGGACACGACAAATCATAAAGAGTGAATGCATATGCACCACTGGGAACTATTTCAAGCCAGATAACTGATTGTCTCCAGTCATCGGTTCTTGTCATCTCGACAACCCCAACCAGGAAGCCAGTCTACACCTCCCTACGTGGCTGGCTGAAACTAACTGTCAAAGATCCCATAGAGTGAATTCAAGTTTTGGTTTGACCACAGCTAACTCTTTTCCAACGTGATCCTATGTCAGCTAACATTCCACGTCGGTCAAGGAAGGCGATGGCTAGGTATGCATGCACAACACATATCCTAACCATCTCAATCGATGCAACTACTTCACAACCCCGTCGATTGATTTCCCCTTACCTACTTAGCACTCGACCGAAGCCTAACTTCAATATTACCCACCCTATTATACCACTTAACACACACGGGGGATGGAACGCAGGCACCTATGATCAAAGACAGCTAGCCTTTCCATATCTTCAACTTAGAATGACCACGTCTTGCTCGGAGCCATAAAGAAGGACGCAGAGAACTGCTGCGCAGTACACACATGATAACTTCATAGATTGGAGCTCGATATTCCACTCGAAAGTAAAAGAATAAAGCACAATAAGATTTACATGTTGAGCAATGTCAAGCATAATTTTCTTCTTACTTCCAAGAGATGTTTATTTATTTTAGTGTCATGCTACTTCTGTTCTATTGTTTCATATGCAGGCTTTTCCACCAGCGTGACGACAGTAACTTAAGCCATTCTGTGATTTCCCCTTTTTTCAAACCATTATTATTATTATTATCCATATGAACTGTGATCAAGGTATGGTCGAATAGTTCTAAAATAATTGGGCGCCGAGTGAGAAGTAGACATATGTAAAAATTATATTTGTTAAATCTCAGTGAAATTGAAATGAGTAATTACAACGTTTCGTTCCGCAAACTGGTACAGACTTATTCAGGGAAATTAATCGAAATTTAAAATAACAAAGGTTTATGTATACAAAAAGGACATCTCTTGTTTTTAAAAACTTTGTCCAATCATATTGAGTCATGAAACAGGCATTAACAGACAAATTTGCATGAACTGTGATCAAAATTTAACCTCAGACTTACAAATATTAATGTCAGTAAAAAGTCTGAGCATTGTGGAATAGATCAAATAAATTATAGTTTTATTTCAATGGTTTACACACAGTGATAAGTTTTTGTTTTTCGGTAATATTTCGAGCAATATTACTGCCCGTGATCACACCAACTGTTGGAATTGCTTTGTTTTTAATTCACACATTTATGATTTATATATATATATATATATATATATTCATATATATAATTCTTTTTTGTCCATTCATTTTTGTGTATCCAGAATTATATTCCCGGTTGTTGACAGTTGTACCCTTGTTATATGTATCCGATGGCGTGACCTTAATGAATATAGATTCTGTTATAAGTCTCTCTTTCCATTTGTTCATATTAGTTTTCAGAATATACAAACTTTGTTCCAATCAATACTATGGTTTTTGTCCCATGCGTGTACAGCTACAGACGAATTGTTTTTCCAAATTTTTGTAAGCTTGTGTTCCTGTTGGTTGACTTTTAGTTAGGCGTTTATGTTCATTCACTCTTATTCTGAGTGATCTGGACGTTTGACCCACATATTTAGTCGGACACTCAGCACAAGATATTTTGTAAATTACATTATTTTTATCCATCATATTTTTATTGGATCCTTTAGTTGATTTATTTTATTTTTGATTAGATTCGTTGGCTTAAACGTGGTGCGAATCCCAATATTTTTGAGGTTTCTTCGAATTGAGTCTTATGTACCACTTTTTGCCATTCCCTAGTTTTACTCTCTTTTTTCCTCTTCTCTACATTATCTCTGATAAATTCCGTTGCGTAGTTATTGTCGAGTAACATTTTGAACAAGACATTTATTTCTTTCAAATGGCCATTTGGTGTTGTTGTAAAAGTCTACGTATTCTGTCTGTAAGACTTTGTATATTAACCCTCGAAGTGGATGAGCTGAATGATAATCAAGGAATCTCCTAGAATGTGTAGTTTTTCTATATAGCATCGTTTTTATGCTGGATATGTATTACTAATCAGTTATACTTGACCTAAATTCTTATAGAGAGGCTGACAAACGATTTAAAATTATTCTTTCACGCACTCACACACACACACACCATTATACACCATATATGCATATATATTTTTTCATATCCAGTTATCTACGACCATGACCTTTAGTCGAACGTAATCATTAAGAATGTGACGCTAAAAAGTACACACACACTGTTCACAGTGTTTAACAAAAGTAGACTATGTCAGTAAAAAGTTTGAGCATTGTGGAATAGATCAAATAAAGTATAATTGTGGTGAGAGCTGTCTGCAAACAAGCCAAAATTGTAGACAACAATTTACGTGAATGTTTACGTCCCGAATAGGGGCCATGAGAAAAAAAAGTAACAAAGCTTACTTAACCTTGAGGAACTCACCAACCAATCACAGCAGACTTAACGTGTGCAAATACGATTCGCAGATATATGGCTTAACTTTCTAAGAAACGGTCACAAGCAGTACAGAATAACCTTCAGCAAAGAAAACAACCAGTCAGAAGACGTTGCTTCTCTGCTAACAATAATGCTGATAATAATGTACATAAAAATCTATGAATACCTCTTGATTTTCTCAATAAACGATCTGTTGCCTGGCCTTTGTCTTCTGTCATTACATAATTATATTTCAGTGGTTTTTTGTTATTGGTAATATTTCGAGCAAAATTGCTGCCCGTGTTCACACCAACTGTTGGAATTGTTTTGGAATTTAAAAGAAACAAAACAATTCCAACAGTTGTTGTGATCACGGGCAGTAATTTTGCTCGAAATATTACCTATAACAAAAAATCTTATCATTGTGTGTTAACCATTGAAATATAATTATACTTTATTTAAAAGTAGACTAATATTTGTAAGTCATAGGTAAAATTTTGATTACAATTCATGCAAATTTGTTTGTTTATTATATGTTAATGCGTGTTTCATGACTGAATATGATTGGACAAAGTTTTAAAAACAAGAGATGTCCATTTTCTAGACATAAACCTTTGTTATTTTAATTTCGATTAATTTCCCTGATGAAGTTCGGACCAGTTTGCTGAGATTTTACAAAGCTAATTTTAGCTGATTAAAAATGCCCATTAAAATTTTCAAAAGGATGGTTACTGAACAAAGAATATCTCTTTTCGATAACCCCTTCGTCATCAGGCTCTACAGTTATATATACATAATAGTAGTGAATGAATTGGTGTTATGAACAACATTAATGTTGTTTAAATAACCGCGAATCAATAATATCAATAGATTACAGTTCAATAGCATCAACATAACAATAAACTAAACTGCCCTGGCCTTCAGTAGACACTAAAAATTCATAAATTTGTAATATTTTCTTTCCTAATTTTTCTGGCATTCAGTTTATTGCTATGCTGATGCTATTGAACTGTAATCTATTGATATTATTATTGATTCGATGTTATTTAAACAACATTAATGTTGTTCATAACACCAATTCATTCACTACTATTATGTATAAATAACTGTAGAGCCTGATGATGAAGGGGTTATCGAAAAGAGTATTCTTTGTTCAGTAACCATCCTTTTGAAAGCTAATTTTAACATTTGTCTATTATTATTATTCAGCAGTACGCACCCACCAGGATTCGAACCCAGGGCCTTCTGGTTACAAGGCGAGCTCGTAGACCATTGAGCCACTGGGACCCGATCCAATGGCCCATGAATTCTAACTTCTGCCAATTCACGACATAGCGCGACCATTTCGCAATGTCTTCTTCGATGAGTTACTGCCTCATCTTCAACCTGCTGTACCCTATTGGTCATGGCTTCCCACTAGAACCCCAGGTTAACTGCCTGAATAGGGCCAGTCACTAGTGAGCATGATGAAATCCTCCATGCAATCAAACAAAATCCCTATAAAACCAATACTTGAAAATTATTATTATTATCATCACCATCCTCATTTTGTGACATGTTATTCAACGCTGTGAATAATTTTACACGACAAACACCTAAACCAAATATAAACAAGTTGATTAACTAAAACACAACGTATATATGAGTGAGATCAAGCACAGTGAAACAATTGAAAGATGGATTTCAGTTTTACAGAATACTGAAAGTAATTAGCATAAAAGCACAGGTTCCCTTCTACCACCGCCTCCTCCCCCCGCCCTAAATGTCGGAAATCACAATGACAATAACAACAACGTCAGTTCAAGGAAGGAGTAAACCAAAGATAGATGTACGTATGTATGTATAAGACAAACAAAAAAATACACTTGTGATAGAATAA